TTTTGTATAATTTATTTGGTTTTAATTATTGCTTACTGGACAACACATAACAATTACATCATTGATTTATGATGTAAATAACAATTTAAGGATCAATGGGTAACTGTTAATAAAAACCCATGTCTAGTACCAATACACACACCACACGAAAAGTCCCAACAAATGGGATCATAAGAACGGAAATTGACCAAGAGGTTGAAAACGCCAGACAATCAACTCAACCACCAACACACACGACACAATCTCCCACTTCACACTTTTTCTTTAATGTTCTAATCGAAAGATATGGCGGGCTTGAACCACTCTTTACATTCCTTGGACTAAACCCGTTGGTATTCTTGATGATCAGACCGGTGGTTAGTGATTTGTATGTGGACAAAAGAGGAAAAAAGTCTTTCTTCTACAATCCTGACGACCGCATCCTCCTTCTTTATTTGTTCTTTAAGTATGATAAATTAAGAATAATTCGTGATCTGTGTCTTCCTTTTGTTAAAACCAATGAACAAATAGAAAGAGAAATCATAATAAGTTCAAAACTGTTCCTTCAGATTATGAGAGACTCTTTCATTACATTTAAGGGCGAGAATCTCCTTAACACTAATGTAAGTGCTATTATCGATTGCACGATGGTTCCTTGTAATCGACCAAGCACTGATTTCGCTTCTTCAATGATATTTTACAGTGGAAAGTACAAAGCATATTGCATTAAAAAGGAAGTAATCGTGAATGCAGAAAGCGGAACAGCAGCTTTTGTTTCTCAAGGAAAACCAGGAGCACAGCACGGTATGAAACTTCTGAAAGAAACGGCTCAGGAAATCAGTCATATGCTGGGAGGAAAGAAGATGATAGGTGACAAAGGGTACAAGGGAATTGATGCTTATGTTCCCAATTCGTTTATCCCAACAACAAGTCCTTTCCTTGAAAAACGTTGCCTTATTGAAATATACTTCGGGAAACTTAAAACCGTCTTTGCTTTTGCAAGAACAAAGTTTGTGAAAGCTTTTGAAATTTTTGATGCCATGTTTGTTCTCTGCTGTTGTTTTTGCAATGTTGATATCCAAATTAACCCACTTATTGCGGAAGATGCAGCTAATTACCAAAACATTGTTGACAATTTCATGAACAGCATAGAAGAAAGAAGAAAGCTGCATCGAGAGAGTAACAGAATTTATCGAAGAAGACAACAAATTCAAATGAATGCTCTTATCAATGAGCAACACAGAAATGCCCGAGAAGATCAAAGCGGAGAAGATGAGACTGAAATTGAAGCAGACTTTCGTGATGATTAAAATTAACTCAATCCAAAAAGATTTTTTTATTTGGTATTTTTTTTAAAAATTAAACGGGAATTGTGGAGGGATAGGGGAGCATTCTCATTTAAACAAAGAGCAATCTTTGTGATAATTTCCCAACTCATAAGAATCTTTTATTACCCTTTTCCCTCAATTTCTTTCTCAAGTCTTGTATATTGAGATAAGTCATATATTCACCCAAAAAGATTGCTACAAGAAACTTAAAGAAAACTTCAAAGCAAGATGATACGTTTCTTCGGGAAATGATCGGAAGAGAAAGCATTTCCAGAGTTTTTCAATTAAAGAATTGTTATTGTGATGATGTGGCTTTATTATTCAAAAAGTAGTGGACAAAAAGAAAATGATTCTATAATTAAGAGTCGAGTCCATTTCTGAAACGTCATTGGTCTACTATTATATAGTTTAATAATTAGCAACAAAAAACTTCAAATTTTTTTCAGTTTTTTTAATTAAAATAGTTTTTATTAACTAATATTTATAAATATAAGTTTTATATATAAAAAGTTTGATAATAATAAAATAAAGTTATCATACTGTTAGTATTAACCAATAATGTTGTATTTTTGT